ATCCCTAGATATAGTCAATGGAATAAGAACAATCTAACACCCAAATTCCCAGAAGGTTACTCAGATTGACAAACACCTGAAGAATGCCAAAGGTAAAATTCCAGTTTATTTGAATATCTTTGTTTATGGTTAGAATTTAAATTGGGATATTTTAGTCTGTCATTTCAGTAGAAAGCCTTGTAAGAATAATCTATATTATAACATTAACATTCTTAATATAATTGATAAACTCTCTTTTTGTTGAGGATCCTATAGTTAAAATATTGATTTAAAGAACAGAAGGCATAAAATTCAAATAGAAGTACCACTTGATATAAGATTCAAATATTAGGGCAAGGTTAATGAGGTTTATCATCATTAATCATCATAAAGAAAGTAAAAACATCAAACTTGATTTTTTTTCTTTCTTTTCCAGCTTTAATCACTTACTTTAAAAATCTAAAGTATATTAAACAGTACACCCGGTTGTATTAATTTTCTAATAGATGTTCTACCCATAATTAGGAGATTAGCAGAACAACATCATTCTGTTTCTTTAATAATTTATGCATTTCAATGTATGGAAATTCTATTATAGTGAAGTGCTATAAATTTCAACATTATAGTAATTTAACTAATTGTTTAGTAGTTAAACAGACTACAAAGAGTTTAATAGGTAAGGTCTATTACTCCACCAAATTTAATATTTTTTTTACAAGATTTTTATCACTTTAAACATTATTTTTAGTGGATACCCATATTTGAGTAGATGACTTGTTTATTTTAAACAGTATATTTATTTTTGTCTACCAGCCTGAATATTCAAGAAATCTTATTAAAGAAAAATATGTGCCCGGCAGTAGAATTTGAACCTGTATACCCCTTTGTAAGAGAGACTGTAGTTAGATCTGATATGCTTCTAAACAACTTAGCCATGAAAGGCATTGCTGATCAATACTTTTCAACTCTTGAAAGTTTATATCTGCTCAGTTTTGTATCCAAATGTAAACAAATCAATTTCTAAAGAAATGGATTTTTTATTTATTAATTCAACAGATTTTTATCACTTTAAACACTATTTTTAGTTGATGACCACATTTGAGTAGATGCTTTATTTTAAACAGTATATTTATTTTCTTCTACTAGCCTGAATATTTGAGAAAGCTTATTAAAGAAAAATATGCACCCTCTCGTATGATTTGAACCTGCATATCCCTTTGTAGGGAAAACTGTTATTAGATTAGACATGCTTTTAACAGACTCAGAAATTTATAAAGTAAAAATCTGGAAATTTAAGTAGCAAAACTTAATGACAGAACAACAAATTAAAATCATGACATTTTATTTTCAATTTAAGTGACTATGAAAGTTTTTCATTTTGGAACAGACTTCATCTCAAACACCAAGGAAAATAAAAATAGGTAATTGATTTTTGTTGAAAGTTATCACTTTCTTCTTTTATTTGCTATGTCCCTTCAGTATGTTGGCCATCATGGCTTCCCACAACTTCATATCCTTTGTAGCTTTAAGTAATGTTTGCCCTATACCATCACTTCCACTCCCTGTTCTGCCATCAATTTAAACAAATTTGTTAGGTAGGTTACTCACTGTTTCCCTTTGCCCTTCTTGCCTTCAGTATGTCCTGTGAGTGTCAAATCTCCAAGCCATCTTTCCTCATTATGTGTCTCAGAAATTTCAACTGTTTCTTTTTGATTTAAAGTATAAGTGTACTTTTTGTTTCAATTTTTCTTAAAACTTCCTAGCATTCTCAGTATCCTTCTGTAGAACCATATCTCTGTTACCTCAATTCTCTTCTTCATCTGTGAGGAAATTGTCCAATATTCATTGGTCATATAAACAGATTGATATTGCATAACAGTTCTTTGTTTCTCATGAAGTTTTCCTGTTTCTTAAGAAATTCTCACTGGTTATGAAAACTTTGGTCTGGTAGGAACAAATTGAAAACCTTAAAGTTGCTTACAAAACCAAAACATTAACTTAAAAAACTCGAGTTATATTCTTAAATAGTTTCATCAGATCAATACGATGTCATGCATTGTGCTAAATCCATTCAGAAATATCTAAACTGTCAGTTGTATGCAACTGCTTTCTCAGCATGATGGTTAAAGGTAGGTTATAAAGAATGAAACAGTAAGTCTTAGCAAGAACCATCCTTTTTTAAATCTCATAGACTGGTGCTACAGAATCATAAACAAATAGTTTTACCAACAGAAACCACATCACTTGAGGACTTACATTCACAGTTGTTGCTGTTGTTGAAACTCAAAAAGAAAATAACAGCAAATAAGATGCTAATACTCGGCACTACTTCAAAAAAGAATTTAAGAAAAAAGCCAGCATCAATAGTGGAAAGAGCAATAACAGTTACTGGACATGAAAAACTTATTTTTCAGAAAAATTGCTTTAATAGAAAAGTTTTATAAATTTCAACTGATGGTATCATAGGCTGCTCAGTCAATTAATGCCAAATGTTTCCTTATGAGCAAACGGCTAATATTACTGTTACCAAAGTTTCTATTTCTAAGCATCTAACTGGTGAGGCTTATTACCATTCTCAATTATTTAAGATTAATGAAAATAAAGCTTTAAGGAAGTGTAGTTAAATTTTGTTAGAAACAAAAAAAAGAGTACTGAACTGTTACGTGATATCAGTCCTATATGACAGTGAATGCTGGACAATCTACTCACAGATGAAGAGGAGACTTGAGGCAGCAGAAATATGGTTCTACAGAAGGATACCGAGAATACCATGGACCAAACATGTCAGCAATAACAAAGTCTTAGAGAAAATAGAAGCATAAAGGAAAGTTATACTTAACATCAGGAAGAGATAGTTGAAATTTTAGGGCCCATAATGAGGAAAGAGGATTTGGAAAATTTGATATTCACAGGACAGATTGAAGGCAGGAGGTGTAGAGGAAAACAATGCACATTCTACCTAGTGAGCTTGAGTAAATGGATGGTGAAACAAGGTTTAGGAGAGATAACAAAAATATAAAATTTTTAAAAGCTACAAAGGTCAAGAAATTGTGGCGAGCCATGATCACTAACATCCTGAAGGGACACAGCACATAGAAAAAGAAGTTATAAAATCCATACTACACAAGAAGCTTAAATAATAACAGAAACAATTCAATTTCAATTCAGAAGAGTTGCTAAGTTGGTAAAGTTGGAAAACAGAAAATGTAATTAGTCTTTTTGTAAAACTATATCAACTACTACTAATAATAATACTAATACTATGTGCTTTCTTATTGACATGACAGTCCCTCCAGATTGTAATGGATCACTGAAGACTTAAAAAAAAGAAACTATCAAAATACAAGGATCTTGAAGTAGAAATCTCAAAAATGTAGCACATGTGGACATCAATAACTTCAGTTGTAGTTGGAGCCCTCAGATTGATTGGAAAAGGTTCTGATAGATACATTGAAAGGATTTCTGGTAGCCCATGCCTTAAGGAAATACAAAAAATTGTACTCAAAAGTAAAGCTCACACATTACAAAGAACTTTATCTATTTAAAATGTGTGTGTTCATAGGTTTTTGGGTTTGTTTTTTTTTTTTACAAAAAATGATCAGTTGAAGGTGCCATGAAGTCATTTCTGATCTTAGGTCTCTGTTTGAAACCAAGAAAGAAATGTGTATACAACAGAAACACAATAATAATAATAATAATAATAATAATAATAATAATGCCTTTTAGGTTGTACTTGAGGGTGCAGCTTAAATGTAAAGAAGATCTCAATATCAAAGTCTTTATGTTACTCATTTAACAAAAGAAAATAAATCCAAGCAGTATTAAAATTAACTTCTAATCAATAAAAGTCAGTGCTTATTTAAATGTGATCAGTATTGACTGATTCTAGAGGCTCTCAAAGAAATCTTCAAATTTTCTTTTTGACGGCTTTTTCATGAGGATAGAAAAAAACAAATGTAGCTCTTTCTTATGAAACATTACATTTTTAAAAGTGTACAATTTATCAAGATTGATGCCCTTTCATTTCAAAACACATTGACATCAATTTTATATTGATTAAGAGATGACATTCTTATATTTTAAACATAAGAAATTCAAGTTACTTTTAGTAATGAATTGATTCTCTTTTATCAAACATTCATCAGTCATGTGAGACAGATAGGAAAAAAGAGAAAGACAGCAAACAAATCAAATTTGAAAAATAGTTCTAATCACTTTATAGTTAAATTGCTTTTAAGCTTTATAAGTGATATAACCAAGGAATGAAAATTATATTTGTTTACAAACTTATAGGAAGATAAAAGAAGCAAGGTATCTATAAGCTTTAATTATGAAACTGATTAATATGGCCACTAATTAGAAGCCAGATATTAAATTTTATGTTTATTATATTTTGCAGCTGTTAACCTTATTTAAAATTTTGATTATCATTTTATTTATATATGTACAAATATAAGTCATATGGCTTTCCTTGTAGAGTGTATGTTTACTGCTTCAACATACTGTTGTAGTTTCTGTAGCAAGTAGGTTTTTATAGGGTGGAATCCCTAATACCATATTTTGAATTCATAGTTGTCCTCCTTCTAGACTGGTTACCAACCAAGGCTAGAGAGGCCAGTCTGCTATTAAGGTGGGAGAACAGATAGATTCATACCTTTCCAAGAGTATTTGTGAGAAAGCAAACCCAATAAACATGGCTGGAATTTTTAACTCTGAATGCTAATCCCAATTTTTGGTTAATGTTTGCCTTTTGTTGAGCAACATATCAACTTCTATGGGTTATTTAATATTCAAAATCTAAATATTTTATATACAATTTTATATTATTTTTTTAGGTGGGGAGATAATGTTTTTTGCAATACAAGTCTTTATAATTAATTTGGGGGTTGAAGAGGTGGATTCATGCCTTTCCCAAGGGTATTTGCTCATAAGTAAATATAATGAACTCAACTGGAATTGGAACTCAGCTCTCCAATTAACAATTCCAAGCTATTATCCATTACACCACCTGCACATCCAAGCTTACAGTACCAAGTATTCCCAAGTTGTTACTCATCTAGGTACTAACCAGACACAATGTTGCTTAATTTCGGTGATCATATGGGAACTGGTGTTCCAACATGATGTGCTGTAAGCCTATTATACTATCTATAAATCCAAGCTTACAGTACCTTTTATTCCCAATACAGGCATGAACATGTTTGACTTTGATTAACATTGATGATGGCATTTCAACATTATGTGGCTGTATGCCCCAATTTTTATGCTGATAACTGTTACATGCAGTAGCATATATCTACATTTTATTTATTATTCCAACTGTAGCATGATTTCTGTCAAAATGTATTAATAACAAAATAGGCCAAGTGTCAAATTTGTAGTACGATGAAGCTGTTTCAAATCAATTGGTACTATGATGCTATAAGCATTAAGCTAGTCTATGACCATTTAATGCCATTATCCACATTGACCAAAAGAAATTTATATTGCTTTGCTAATACTTCCAGGCTAATCATATCTTTATTACTTTCTTCTGTTATAACTTCACTCTTTGTCATCTGAAAATTCTATTTTCTATAATATTGCCAAAATTCTAGTTTTTATGATATTGCAGTCACCTTTAATATGTGTTTCAATTTACTCAAGATTAAACAAACAGATAATTTAGCTGGATTATAGTAAATGATACGTGTTGATGTCTATGATGTGTCATGTCAGTGGTGATACTTTTGCAGTGAAGCAATCAATCCTGCTTTATTCAGGTGAATTGGGATGCAGAAATGTACTGGTTTATGGCCTACATCCAACTCTTACACATGGCTCCAAGAAGTCACATAGGCACTGTGATGGTCACATTTTGGTCAATGGCATCAACCTGTCAGCTAAAATGTGTGAGGAGAGTCAGAAGAGTTTCCCTGACCCAACTGGTGAAGGGAAATGCCTCTTCCCAACCCAGTCGCCAGCCTGGGTGTAAGAGCTGCGCCTCAGAGGTCAATGACTGACCAATGACAGAGTAACTTCTGTGAGGATGGATGGGATAATCTCAGCAATAGTAAGTAAGCCATTGCACTATTTTGCCTTGAATGTCACAATGGACCACAATTACAACAGAGAGAGTAGTGACCACATCAGTGCAAAATGCACTAACTGAATAAATGATGATTATGATGTTGATCCAAAACATCCAGCTGTAGTAGAAAAAAAAAATAACTGATAGTCATTCTCCCCACAATAAACCATATATCTTTTCATGACAGACTATTTTGTGCCTTTATAAGTCTACCATTCATCCATGCATTGAATATTGCTACATCTGCTGTGGTGCTTTTGCTATGTATCTAGAATTTTTTGATATAATCCAAAGAAGAATCTGCAAGATTATTGATCATGATCTGTGTTGGGGCACACCCACCTTCTCATCAGAATGGACTGATCTCTCTACTGCTAATAGGACAGTTCTATAGAGTTCTGGGAAGATCAGGTGACCATCACACTTCCGTCTCTCTACCGGAAGATACAGTTGGACTTTATACTCTTTCTGATTGTTACTGACTAACCTGCATTCATTTGACTACTAATCTCTCTGTTGTAAATACTTCTTCAGATATACCAGTATTTTCCCTAGGTATGTGTTTGTCCTTATTTCAATACACGCACGCGGAAACACTCAACATCTCAACAATCTGGCATCTCGTTTTCAGTCATTTTCTCACTGCCATAACATTGTTTCCTTGTGCTTTTCTAAAAATATTTTCATCGTAATTGTTTTGATAAGCTTTCCTCTTTGATACAATGACTGCAGGCACAGTACTAGACTGGCAACAAGGTCTTACCAATTTACAGTTGAAATTGCTAGCTGTAACCATAAGTTTTGTGGTAACAGTTTCTCCTCTTGCACTTTTCACTTGTGGAACTCTGTTCCAGGTTCTTGCTTTTCAGCCAACTTTGATCTTCAAAATTTTAAATGCACTATCAATCATCATCTTCTGTCTCCTTGATTCCAGTTCTTTTATTGTCCTTTTTTTTAATAATGATTTTTCTCATATTTTTTTTCACTTTTTCCATCTTAGTGGTTTTATTGTTTTACTGGAGGGGAAATGTTTAAAAAGAAAAACAAATCTACCAGCAGAAGACTTGTTACACTTTTATTATCTGACCTGATACACTGTGACTGTTGGACATGTTACACACTCACAGATGAACTGATGCCACTTCTCCCAAGCTATAGTGTTCTCATTTTATATGGAAATATGCTATAAATATTTAAATATGTACTTCAGATGAAAGGAGTATTTTTTTTACAACCTACTCAGTGTCTCTTTTAAAGCTGGTAGGTAAATTAATGGTTTTCAGTTGTTCTGTTATATTCATATACAAATCAATAAGTGATTATTCTTATTAGAAAAATAAAGAATGAATAAAAATCCAGACCCCATAATAATACACTGTATATCTTCCTTGGATACACAATGGTGTAATGGATAGCAAGTCAGAATGAAAATTTTCAGAACTGAGTTTGAATTCCAGTTGGGTTCATTACATTCACTTACTCACAAATACTCTTGGGAAAGGTATGAATTCATCTCTTCTCCACCCCCAGCTATGGTTAAATATCATTATAGACTGGACCTATAATCTTGGTTGTTAACCAGTCTAGGAGAAGGAAAACCCTGATTTCAAACCAGTCTGGGATCTTATCTAAGACATCTCATTGCTGCTATGGCTGCAATACAAGTGGTGTCCCAACAAACCTAATGGGTTACAGGTCTCATATGATTGTGATTGTGATATCTTCCTTGGTTGTAAAGACAGGCCTGTGTTCTTACCTCATACAGATGGTCAACACCATCCTGCAATCTATGTCACTTGTATATGATACAGCAAATATTACAGGTGGGTTAACCGAATGAATCAGATATCATCCCATTGTGTCCCCTGGCCAGAGAAGTTGTCAAAGATCTCATTGAAAATGTTGAGTAGCACAAGCATTATGCAGGCAGGTATTATCCTGCTAGAAATGCATATCACTTTCCTGTTGCAGGGGTTGAACATTGTCCTCATCATACTTGTCACTATTCAACATTCTCTTCATAAGCACCAAAGATAAGTGAAAGTTGCATTTTATAGCACCCAACACCATGATACCAGGGATGGAGCTATATGTCATGGGTGAATATCTTCTGAAAAATGTCACTGTTCATGCCTACATCACACACACATGATCATCACTTATATGAAGGCAAAACCTGCTCTCATCACTGGGCTCAACAGAGTGTCATTTGATACTCCAGGTGGCCTTGTGACATCCCGGAAAAATGCATGATAGTTTAATAAACACTTAATGGTAGACAATATGCTGCAATAATAAGTTAATTATCATATAATTCAGTTTTTACTAGTCTTCATTGTTTTTATTGCTTTTCATCATTAAGCTAATGGGCGATATATTCTTTCATTGTCATTGTGGAGGGAAATATATGAATGCATGGGAATGCATGAATGTCAAAGATATTCATTTAGACAAATGGTTTCCATAGCAATGAAACCACTGATGATCAATCCTTGACCAGACACTGACTGTTTAAAAAAAAAATAATTTGACTAATAAGAAAAAATATTTCACAATTATTTAAGAATCTATCTATCTATCTATCTATCTATCATCACCATCATTATCACCACCACCACCATCAACATCAGTCCCATGACCAGGTGTGGTTTTAAGGTAACTGCTTAGCTGGTCACCTGATCAGTTCCTGTTACATATCTGTGTATTGTGTTTTAGGAAAGTAGGCCTGGTGGAGCCCATCCTTCTCCAGGTTAACCCACAGCCAATGTTCTCCAAGTTAAAAGCCCACCTTGGTCACAGTTATTGATTCCATCAGGGGAACCCTCCACCCTGACTGTTCTTCAGACTAGAAAAACCTCTCCACAGTGATATCCTATCATCACCACACTGGCTGCATACATATCTAGGGGGTCTGGCCTACCTCAGTCTACTAGATGGTTATTGACCCTACAATCCTGTTGGGTGTCTAGCCACCCTCTTCACAAGAAAAGCCAGATGGGAGGACTGATTTAATTGCCAATGACCCAAACATGTGGCAGGTAATATTGGGTTACATGATATCAGTAGCAATCGTAAAATGACCCAACATAATGTAAATATGTAAACCATTTAAATTTATTGAATTAAACTTGCTTTTGGAAATCATTTTTGTGCAAAATAAACCAAACAATTTTGTCTGAAAGATGTTTGCAATTTGATTCTGACTGGCTGCTTTATAATTGTGGCTTTATGCCAAAAAATAAACTAATTATTGGAAATCTCTCCTGAAGGCTATTTGGAAATCGGACATTAGTCAATAAGGAATGATAGTTTTGTATACCGACAATTTTAATCATAGAGAAATGCAAAAATTTGGATATTAAAAACCTTTTTAAAGATACAAAAAAAACTCTCCCAGAGATTTGATATAATAAAAAATGATCGAGTTGTCATGTAATAATTATATTTTTATGGTCTTTATATTTATCCAAGGGCAAGAACACTTGATACTTGTGGATGAGAAACAGAAAAGAAAGGGGGAAAAAATCTTCCAAGTTGAAAACTATAAACCACGAGTTATAAAAGAAAAAAAGAAAAAGAATGTTTGCAATATTTGCTTTCTCCTCAGAATCATGGTTTGTGATAGTTAAAATTCAATATCCCATCGAAAATGTTCATAGAATAGAAGCAAACCGAGGAATGCATGGTTTTAAGCCAGCAGATAATTTGTGATGAAGATGACATCTCAGTGCCTGGAAGAGGGAGAAGTGAAGGGAGGGGTCAAGAGATGGAGGAGGAGAGGGAAAAGAGAGAGAGAGGAAGAGAAGAGCAATTCTGCTGATGGCTGTGATGCTGATATTTATTAATGGCTAAACACTGACATGTGCAATAAGCGCTTACAGGAGAGATGTAGGAAGAATGGGCTGAGAATAATTCAGGGTAAAAGAGGTGGCAGCCATTGAAAATGTAGAACGTTAGAATGAATATAAAAATCAGCTGGTTGTTTTACCATACGGCCATGAATTTGGGTCATTGAGTGCGATTGGATAATTGCATTGACACCATTCTTG